ACTTATTGAGACCATATGTTGTTGCTCTCCCCTCGTACATTCAGGACTCCACGGACTTTATCCGCAAAATTAACCAAATTTCAAATTTACCTAATAATACTGTTCTGGCTACACTTGATGTTTCGTCATTATACACTAATATCCCTCATGATAAAGTTGTTAATGCGTGCATTTCAAATTACAAGCAAATTCGGGGCAAAACCCCATCTAAATCACATCTCCGTGAACTTATCATGCTGATTCTGACCAATAATAACTTTGTTTTCGGCGACGGTCATTACCTTCAAATTCATGGCAAGCGATGGGCACCAAAATGGCTCCATCTTTTGCTAACTTATTTATGGGAAAATTTCAGGCCAATTTCCTGTCCCTACAGCTCAAGAAACCAGATGTTTGGTTTCGTTACATTGATGATATCTTCATGATCTGGACTCATGGTGAAGATAGTTTGGATATTGAACATTGAAACATTAATTCGGCTCATCCCACAATCAAATTCACTGCTAACAAATCCACAAGCAGTGTAGATTTTTTGGACATCACCGTATCCATGGAAAATGGTGCACTCAAAACTTATCTCTTCCGTAAACCCACGGATAAGCATATGTACCTGCTCCCTAGCAGCTGTCACCCCCCACACTGTACAAAAAACATTCCGTACAGCCAAGCATTGCGCATGAGACGCATTTGTTCTTCGGATTTAGATTTTCAGAATCGCACAGAAGAGCTATCCGGACATCTCCGGAATAGATATTATCATCGAGGACCCATCGAAAATGCTGTAAAAAAAAGCAAAGGACATACCTCGTGCTCAAACACTGACCTACAAACCACGTCAGCGATCGACCAGTGTGCCACTGGTCACTACCTATCACCCTAGGTGATCTAAATAAAGTAAAGAGTTAATTGTGTTGTCAATATGTTCGGAATATTAATGTTTCTATTTGGTCTAATAGAAAAGTTTGCTAGAAAATGACTGGAAATGCTGTTTTTGACCTCTGACATGTTTTAAATATCATGGTTATTGAGTCCTTATTATCTCCACAACCACTGGTGGTAGAGAGTTAATTTTGGTGCCAATTTGTTCGGAATACTCATGTTTCTATCTACTCTAATAGAACATTTTACTAAAATACGACATGAAAAGTCGTTTCTGACCTTTGACATGTTTGAAGGTCATAGCCACAGAATCCTCATATCTCCACAACCACTGGTGGTAGAGAGTAAATTTTAGTACCAATTTATTCGGAACATTCGCGTTTCTATTTAGAATTATAGAAAAGTTTGCTAAAAATGACAGAAAATGCTGTTCAGACCTTTGACATGTTTCAATGCATATGCATCCCTACACATACTGGCTGTAGAGACTTGATAGTGATCTCAAATTATTAATTTACACATGTTTCTGTTTTATTGGATTAGATCACTTTTTAAAACAAATATGCCGTTACTGATCATCGACCCAAGTCACACGTTTTAATTTCGTCTAATTTTGTCAGCAGACAGTTTATTTACAAGAAATATAATAAATCAAATCAAGTAGGTCTAATTGAATGTATGATACAAAAGCGACCTGAAGTGCACCTCCGACTAAGAGTTCAGTGGAGGTTTATCTCTGTACCTACTATACTGCTAATATAGTATAGTAATATATTCAATTAAAGCAAATTGGCATTTCATATCTGTAACTACTAGATGACACCAAAGACATGATATATATATATATATATATACATATAATATGCTCTCTCTTATACACATCTATATTATTATACAGAGCCCTAACTTATCATA